ACAACACGTGCCCAATAACAAAAACCCCTCAAAAAAAAAAAAAAAAAAAAAAAAAAGAACAAAAGATATCATATTAAAGAGGCTCCATTTAAATGAGATGCCAAAATTATCAAACTTTCTGAGTTCACAAAATACAATTTTTGGTTTCTACTAATTCTTAATCAACTTTATTAAAGTTTGTGCTCTGAGGGAGGAACATATCTTATCTGTCATTAGATCCAAGCACTCCAAAATGATAAACTCCGCTAATAAGTTTCTCCGGTATGTATGGGCCTGACTTTGATGATCTCAAAATGCAAAAATTTGAGACTAAAAACATTGTCATGTATTTTGAGAGAGCAGTTTTTTGGTTTTTGAATTCTTTATTCTGTTTATCATTACTATTTATTTTGTTAACTTGCTATAGGGCACACCAGAGAGAGACAGAGTGAGAGAGAGAGAAAGTGAGAAATCAAACCACCAGGTTCAAGACTTGAACCATGGGGAAATTGGCCATGTGGAAATCCAGCATCTTAACCACCACATCACCTCTGATCCTGAAAGGACACTTTTTAAGATACTGGCATTCATTAAGAATTTCAATTATTTTATTAACTGTAAGATCCAATCCACTTAAAAACAATAGGACCCAGAAATTTATCTTATCTTTGCATGTAATTGAAGTAATTTCTCCTGGGTGTCCTCAAAAACACAGTACAGATATCTGAAATTGGTAGAAATATCATACACAGATGAAAAAAAAGTGATTTTTCTTTTCATCTACAGTGACATGTCTTCACCTTGATGTGGGAGGCTGTGCACCAGCAAGTCTGCCGAGGTTTCTCAGAGAGCAAACAATTGCCATGATTGGTTCCCTTCCAAAAACCTGACCTTCGAAACCTTGCTCTGATTGGCCACTAGAATCCCTCAGATTTGCATATCCAGCACCTCCTGATTGGTCCAAAAGCAACCAATCATAACCCACCATTTACAACCAATCACGGCCCACCGTTTACAACCAATCACAGCCCACCAGCGTGTATATAACCACGATGCCTGGCCCACAGTAGCCAGACGATCAGGAAGACGACACAGATGACCAGGAAGACGACGACGACGACGATGACCAGGAAGACGACGACTGAAGAGCCTGAAGAGCTGACATTGCATCGTCTCCAGACGACCTGGGAGTCCCTGAAGAGCTGTAATACTACATCGTCTCTGGACGACCCTGAAGAGCTGTGACACCACATCATCTCTGTGCTGCTCACAGTAGACGACACGACCCTTAAGAGCTGTGACACTGCGTTGTCTCCATGCTGCTCACGGTAGACGATGCGACCCTTAAGAGCTGTGACACTGCATCGTCTCCGTGCTGCTCACCGTAGACAACGCGACCCTTAAGAGCTGTGACACTGCGTCGTCTCTGTGCTGTACCGTGCTGCCCACAATAAACGGACGACACCGTCGTCTCCGTGTTGTAACACTATGCCGCTTGTCCCGGCTCTCACTCCTTCACTCAGGAAACCTGTTCGGCAGTCCCCCCGGGTCAGGACACCTAGAGATTTTTTTGTAATTAAATATCATTTTTTATGTATCTCCTCATATGATAATAACTGAACAGCAGGAGAATTCAAATATTTTCTGAGACTCCAAGATTTTCTATTAAAAAGTGTGGTCCATGAACCAGCAGTTTCAGCCTGACCTGAACACTCCTTAGAAACACAGAATCTCAGGCCTCATCCCAGACCTATTGAATTCAAATCTGGATTTTAACAGTATCCCTAGGTGACTTTGAGAAGTACTGATGTAGGCCACAATTGAAGAGGCCTGCAATGATACTGGATGAGAATTTAATCCAAGACAATGAAGTGGAAATAACCCATTTAGGGTGAATTTCTAATAAACAAATAAATAAATGCACCATAGTCCAAGAATCTTCTTTTATTTTATTTTTTTAAATTTTATTTTAGAAAGTTTTGTTTTTCACTTTTTGTTTAGCTATAGGGCATGTGCACTTGCTGAAGAGACAGAAAGCGAGAAATCACCCCACCCCACCCCCGGGGGTATGGCCATGCCACAATCCCTTCTCCTCCATTCTCCTCTCAGGATTTTGGGCATGCACTCACACGCATTTGGCATGAGTTTTAAGCCTCCGGGTTCAGAACTCAAACTGCAGTCAGATATGTGGGAGTCCAGCAATGTAAACATTATGCCACCTGCTGGTCCCAGTCTAAGACTCTTCTAACCTGGATGATTGTTATTAGAATCTATGGAATAAGAAAAGAGAGTTATGACTATCTGCTACCTAAAATAATAACAATAAAACCACCTTTGGGGACCAGCAGGTGGTGTGGTGGTTAAGGGCACTGGGTTCCCACATGGTTTAAGGCAGTTCAAGTCCCAGAACTGGCAGCTTGCTTTCTCACTTTCTCTCTCTCTCTGTCCTTCTCTGATCAAATTAAAACAAATTAAATAAATAAATAAAGTTAAATAAAAGAATTATTTTTAAAAAAGAAATTAAAGGATCCAGCAGGTGGCATGGTGATTAAGGGCACTGGACTTCCACATGGCCTACCACAGTTCGAGTCCTGGACCTGGTGGCTTGCTTTCTCACTTTCTCTCTCTCTCTCTCTCTCTCTTTCTCTCTCTCCACTCTGGCTCTCTCTGGTCAAATTTAAATAAATAAATAAAGCTAAATAAACTAGTTCTTAAAAATAAATAAATAAATTTTAAAAATTAAAACAAGTAAATAAGACCACCTCAGTAGATGACAGATGGTACCTGAGCCACATGAACTGTTTCATGTGCTTTTCCTTTTGGCTTACAGTCAGTATATTTTTTTGTCTCTCTCCCAGTTTGTTTAGTTGAAGGAAATAAAATAACATATCCTGTGCACATATTTATATACCAAGTACCATCTTAAGAGTATTTTGTATTTTTTCTTGTGTATTATTCACAACAAACCTTAAGATAAGAATTATTTTCTAGTTTTTGAAAATGAAGAAGCTGAAGTTCAAATAGCTTCAAATAAATTACCCAAGATCATAGTTCATAATACTGATAAGTCTTATAAAGCTGTATCTTTATTGGCAAAACAATGACAACAATAATTTAATAAGAGAAGAAAGGAAAAAAACAGGACATGGTGAAACTCCTCAAACCTTATACCAAATTCAAAGCAAACATAGCATTGTGTACACAAGTAGTTGACAGCCTCTCTGGAGTGCTGGAGTTCAAGACAGTTTTTATTTATTTGTTTGTTTATTTATTTATTTATTTATTTATTTATTTATTTTAAAGAATTGTTTCATTTAATTTTTTTTTTATTTATTTATTTATTTTTGACCAGAGAGGGACAGAGTGAGAGACAAAGAGAGAGAGAGAAATTGAGAAAGCAAGCTGCTGGGTCCGGGACTCGAACCATGGTAGGCCACATCGGTGCCCAGCATCTTTAGCCACCATGCTACTTGCCGGCCCCCAAGACAGCTCTTAAACATGCCAGTGAGTATTTAACTGCCCAGGCCAAACTGACAGAAGGTTTCCATTTTCATAGTTCCTTATTACCTTTCTTATTTTAAAAGTATAATTTTTGACATAGAGAAAAACAAGGAAGAAATAAAATACAAAGCCAAAAGTATCCCAAGAAAATATTAATATATAATTCTCTTATAATGTAAAATATGTAGATATCTTTTCCTCAGAGATTAGACTTTTCTCGTCATCTGAAGTCATATGATTATCAGGCTTCTTTCCTAGAAATCATCTTTAGCTTTAGAAAATGTGAATACACAAATCACCTTCAGCAGAGAGTACTTAGGACTCAGTCTGTATTACTCCAATAAAATCCTTCCTTAGTGACTCTGGCTTTTAAAAATAGTCATCTCAGGACCAGCAGTTGGCATAATGGCTAGGTCGCCAGACTCCCATGTGGTTGACTGCGGTTCTAGTCCTGGACCCGGTGGCTTAAACTCACGCTGGGCGCATGTGCATGCATGCCCAAGATCCCAAGAGGAGAATGGAGGAGAAGGGATTGTGGCGTGGCCATCCCCCCTGGGGGGGTGATTTCTCACTTTCTGCATCTCTGTCTCTGTCTTTCTGGCAAGAACATGTGTCCTATAGCAAAAGCTACCTCTCAAAAAATAATAAAAGGAAAGAAAAGAAAAAACATGGTCATCTCTTTATCTCTTTGATATACTTTCAAAAATGGAGGGAAACCTTGTTTGGATCCAGTTTTGAAAGAAGGAATCATGGGAGCTGATGTTGCTGGACTCCCACATGGCCAATCACAGTTGGGTGTCCCAGACCAGGTGGCTTCAAAATCACTCTGGGTATTTATGCGTGTGTGCCCAAGAACTTGGGAGGAGAATGGAGGAGAAAGGATTGCTCATGGCCATCCCCCTGGGAGTTAATTTCTCACTTTCCCTCTCACTGTGTCTGTCTCTCTCTCCCAGGCCAGCACAAGTGCCCTAAGGCAAAAACCTCTGTATAAAAATAAAAAGGAACCACTTGTCAACACTGAATGTGTACCTCGTACCTTGGCTATTGTGAATAGTGCTGCAATAAACATGGAAGTACAAATACCTTTTTAACAACCTCATTTATATCTTTTAGATACATTCCTAAGAGTAGGATTATTGAATCATATGTAGTTCTATTTTTAATTTTTGAGGGACTTCCATACTATTGTCCATATGGCTATAATAATTTACATTCCTACTAACAGTGTATGAGTTCCAATGTTCTCTGCAAGATAGGTTGACTACAGTTAATAATAATGGATTAGGGGCTGGCAGGTGGCATGGTGGTTAAGGGCGCTGGACTCCCACACGCCGACAGTGTTTCAAGTCCCAGACCTGGTGGCTTGCTTTCTCACTCTCTCTCTCTCTGATCAAATTGGAAAATAATAATAATAATAAATAAAAGTTAAATAAAATAATTCTTTTTAAAAAAATCTCTTAGCAATAGAAATCATGACCAAGATTTAAGATAAGATCAGTTAAGAACTACTAGCCCCTACTCAGAGGTCTATATTTTTTCACCAAGGTTAACAGTTATTTGTCTGCATCTTGGCTTTAAGGAAAATGAGCTAGCATAATATAAAATAAAGTAAAATAAAATGTTTCTGAATAACCCATGATTTCCAAGGAGACCACAACGCTTTTATGTTGCATTAAGGAAGCTTTTTCCAAGGTCAATGTGAGCTTCACTATATAGATTGTGTTTATATATGATACAAGCACTTTTTAAACTGTCTGAAAATACTGGTAATCTGAAAACTATGACTTGCTTAAAATCATAGACTCTGTGATGTCTTTTCAATAGTCCCTGTGATCTTCTAATATGGGGAAGTGGTTTTTACCAAGCTAACCACCAGCCTTGAAATACCTAATCATGCCCTGAGGCTGGAGGGAATCATTCCAAATTGCTCTAAATTGAACTTCCCATGGTAAGAACAAAGGGTGACACTTAACTCAAGCCAACAGCCATGGACCTTGGGGGGTCCAATTTTCCACTCAGGATTCCAGTCTTGGGAACTTCAGGATTTTAAAGTACAGGATCTCAATCTGGCATGCAGAGTGAACTTGTCCATTTACCCAGAGACAGAGTCTGTCTGGTGGTTTTGTTTTCTCTGAGAGTCCCTTTCTTTGCTATAACGGGAGCCTGAACGATAGAGATGGAGCTACCTGGGGAAAATGGTCAAGTGACTGCCCCCTTTGTCATCAGTTACTTAGACTCACCCTAGATTTTCAAAGTGTCCACTTTAAAGATCAGGTATCTCATTCTCAAAATGTATGTCAGCACTCTACACCAGACCATTATAGCAAATCATGAATGGCAGAGCAAGTTGATTCTCCTCTG